AAACCGAGAATACTCTGTATAAAGTTTTTTTATTACTTTTTTTTTTTATTTTACTATTCCCTGGGAGTTTCTTCCGAGAGAAAATATTATAATGTTCAGGGGGTGAAAAAATGATGCTGTATTTATATTTTGGTAAAGTAGCACGTGTGTGTCAATCATTCTACACAGCAATAAGTACATAAGTGGTTTCTGGAGCAAGTTCATTATTGAAATGCACCCTCTTGGTCCCTGTTAACTGGCCCTGGGGCTAATTAATCAGTATCTGCATTCGGTAAACTTTGTTAAGCAAGTATATAAAGCTAAAAAAAAATGGACTGCGCTTAATATAAAAACATTATGATTAAACGCGGCGATTCTGTTGACTTCCCTGAGAGCGCAGTACACAGTTGAACCGTCATACGTCAGCCTTGTCCTGGCAAGCGTTTCTCTTCTCGACTTACTTAATACTTTGTAAATAATACATTTTAAGTGGTTTACTTAGACTCGGACAATCAATCAACGTTGCTTTCTCGACTTTGCGCACGACGGCGGCTCGTACTCGGACTAATCGCATATTTTATTTAACCTAAAAACCGACAGAGAAAAGTCAAACTTCAAACTTCGACGAACGCCAGTGTAGATTGAGTGTAGTATAGTATTTACTTCATTTGTAAAACAGCAAAAGTTGGACAGTAATACTTGTAACTCAATTATTACAAATAAATCAATCAGTAACTCTGTAACTACCCCCTCTCCTTTTCCTACCCAATTCCTATTTAAAGAGGAACTCGTTCCTAGGTTAGGTTTGGTTTGGTTAGGTTAGGTTAGGTTTGGTTTGGTTAGGTTAGGTTAGGTTTGGTTTGGTTAGGTTAGGTTAGGTTAGGTTAGGTTAGGTTAGGTTTTCGACAGGTGTAAGGAATATTCTTTCCTGTTCCTCGTTTATTTCCAAAGCAAACCAATTGCAATCTTGGTTCCTACGATAATAGTTGAAGGGCACAGGGGAAAAACTGTAGTAGTCACATCATGACAATTTTTTTTTTCAATATATGCCATTAATTTTTTTTATTTATTCCAATAGATTGTTTAAATAAAATATACATTTTTTTGTTCTTATGTAAGAGGGAGAGGAATTCACGAACTTTGTTTTTGCCAAGATGTAAAATTTTCATAATGTGACTACTACCGTTTTTCCCCTGTGTCCTGTTTGCTCCAAGGAATCGGCCGTTCCTTTCGGGACGAGTTTCTTCTCAACACTGTCCCTCTCCTACTCCTCCCCCTCCTTGTGCCTTTACTACCGATATTACGGGTTCGCTTGGAGCTACCTAATGGCTTTTTGCGGTTTCCGACCGGTGCTACAATCGCGCATATATGTAGATTATATCGTAGTGCCGACATAAGGAATCGTTCGCAATTAAACGGCAGCGGCGGCCGCAGTCGACCGGTTGGAAGGGCGAGGGCTGCGCGGAGATGGGGTGTCCTTATTGCCGGGAAGATACGGCCAAAGGCGAAAACGTATTAACCCGGCAAAATGCAATATATTATAGCCCACCCCCACCACACCCCCACCCCTCATAACAGCCAAAGATTTTTCATTCGGTTTCCCTCGCCGGTCATGGCCACGGTATTCTCTTTAATTCCCACAGTACAATTACTGCCGCCGTCGAGCGTATTTCCTACCAAAAAAAAAAAAAAACCAGCTTTAAAATAACGAATCTTCATTATTCCCCTACCATTGCCCAGTCCCCTTTGGCAAAATACCATCGCATTATCATCGTCATTATCATCATCATCATTATCGTTATTATCATCGACGTTGTCGTATAGCCGTCATCATCGTTACCGACAATGCGCACTGTTTAGGCACACAATATATTATTACTATACTACAGCTACATAACAATAGCGCACGGTAATAAAATAAAATTATAAAAAGTAGTTCACGTTGCAGATGTAGAGATTGATTTTCTTTCCAGCCAGCATTTTTTATTTAACTTGACTTGCTGACTAAACATTTTAGTCATCACATAAAGTTAAATTTTAACTTTTAAGTACACATACATTTGTCATGCTTGAAAAAATCAACTTTTTTTTAGTACACACAAATAAAGTTATTAGTGATTTAAGAAAAAAAATGTTGCTAGTTTAGTTATGCACTTATTACCTGTAATAGCCTACATAGCAATAAATTTAGAAGTATAACCATATTTTAACATTTCATTCATATGTACAAAATATGTATTTCATTTAACAATATACAATTTTAAAATAACCGTCCCAATATTTTGGCAAGTAATCGAATAAACGTTAAAAAAAAATATGTTACAGGTATAATATTTTAAAATATATTCAATTTATAACTGTATTTAGTTTATAACAATTGGAAAATAGTTTTAATTTTGATATGCTGAATTAGAACGTAGTATTTTATCTAAAACGTTGATAAAAGTGTCTTTAATATTATTTTATTTTATTTTTTATCAATGAGGTGGAACTGTTGGCAAATGACATCTCCGTATAGTAACAAAAATATGATATTTTCTATTTGCCCACTGAATACAATATATACATTATGTTGGCACACGTACACGTGTTAGACACTTTTGTTATTACTAAAAATATTAAAGCGTGGTGCTCGAACAGCTTGCTAAAATTTATTGTTCGCTTTAACCCAACTTTGTGTTGGCCAATCTTTCTCTTTTTCTCCTCTCTCTCTCTCTTAGTCTATCCGGCACTATTACTTTATGCCATTACTTTACACAATGCGCCATATTTTTCTACATCTCTGACTTGGATAATACTCTCACCGCAAAACCGCTATTAAATTGTTTTCTTTTCTCATACATATAAAATATATTTTTTTAATAAGCGCGCCAGCACAACTGTTTGTTTGTCTTTCCTTTTTGTTTCTTAGGGAATTTAAGATTTTCTTTGTCGTCGCAATCGTTATTGAAACTAAAGTGGTATTTATATATATATATATATATATATGTATATATAGTACATAAATACAATATATAAGACCGTCTAAGCCGGTGTGTGGCTTTTAAAGGCGGGCCGAGTTATAAATAAATAAAAAAAACGGCTGCTTAATATGTAAATCACCGCAGCGAATTGCTATACGAAATCTAAGGGAATAATAAATCGCAGAGAGACTTCGTTAAACTCGTTTCCAGACCAGTGATTTGAATAAAGTTGGTATCCAACAGTAGGAAAACCTAAAAGTAAATTAGACAGTTTAGGTAGAGCGCTCCCATAAACTCCAACAACAACTACTTTCCTAAATTAATATTAACGAGAAAGTTAATTTTAGTTTCCAAGCGTAGGCCGCACTCGGAAAGGTCCAAAAGACAAAGGGTTCATATGGCTAGACACTCATAGTCATGGTAGGTTTGGTCATGACTGTTTAAATAAATATACTTAAATGAATATAACGAATACCGTAAACTTACTGTAGACTTGAAGAGTTGTCAGACAAATTCGCCTATTTAAAAAATAATCGAGAAAAACTCCATTAAAATGTATGTTTAAAAAAATGTCTAAGAACCTCTTTTTTTTTTTTAAGTTAAATTAATTTTGGTTTTTTTATTAATTTTGGATAACTGAAAACAATAACGTTTGTGAACTTAAAAATTTACTAATATTGACAGCTATCAAAACGTCACAACAGTTTCCTTTCATCGTGGCACTTTTTAAAGTTGGAGAAACTTAGACATGGCGGCTCGTCTAAATGATCTAGAGCGAGTAAAGGTTTACAAATAAAACCGAAAAACCAATTTAAAATTGCTTTTTATAAATTGGTTTTCTAGATAGTCTTAGGAATTTCTATTTTCGTTTTTTCCGGAGGTAGTCTCTTATTGCAGTAAGATAGTATCAAATCCGAGGTAATTGAATTGGGCACAATATCTTCAATCGGTTCTGTAGTTTCGGTGTACTCGATCAAAATATAAGGAAAAATACATTTTTTTCGTTTGAAATAAAAATAATGCCCGGTTTCTTATTTTTGCTGGTACTCAACACTAAAGTTAATTGAGTCAATTCAGTGAAGCTACCTAAATTTTATTGTTGCAGTAATTTTTTTTTGCATTTTTGCCCCTTTCATGGCGTATCATGTTGTTTTCTTCGATGTAGACACAAACTGAAAAATGTCATCGACAAACGAAGGCTATTGAATAACAACGTTGTCGAGAATTTCGAAAATGAAGGGATAACGGGTGACTACATATTTTATATGATATTGTTATGATGTCCGTTTTGCTACCAACTGCGGTCAAGAATCATATAGCTGCCGCTGCTGAAAAAAATGACTTACACGACCCAAATGCTCGGTATCTGTATATTTTATACTCGATGAAACTCACCGGGATTTATCTATAGCGCGCAAAGTATAATTTATTTATATAAACCATATCTCGGAGTTCCTACGGTAAGGTTTATATTATATAGCTATATATTACACTGCGGACTCGTTCCGGGAGTGAGGCGAAGCGAGAACAAGGGGATGAGAAATGTGTTTATTCGGACTGGGACTTTTGCCAGCAACTAACCAAGGATAACGCGGTTGTTTTCCGCAAACGAAGGGAAAAAGAACAAAATGTGTTTTCCCGACATCGGACGAGGTTGTTTCCCCTGCCCGGATGCACAACGCACATATCAATACTACTAGTTACTACTGATTATATTTACCACATTGTTCTCTGACTGTACATTTAAAAACGGATTAGGGGGATTTTCTCAAACTATACATTAGATCCATAGATAAGTTTAGATCCTTAAAAATCTTATTTTTCTGCAGTCTAAAATAATTTTGAAGGATCTGAATTTCCAAACTAAAGTTTTGTGCAGATGCTATTCAGGTATATCAATGGACTAAGCCTCCCCTCTTCCCAAGTCCCCCCGCCCAATTTATACTTACATAATACCTTATTTTAAAAGTGAATTTATAATATAATGCAAACATAAAATATATATATATTTTTTTTTTTTATTCGCATTAATTGAACCGCATTTTGTTTTGTTTTCAGGAAAGCCATGGAAAAAATTAAAATGATACCACTATTGACGTTGGTGGTTGTGTTTTTTGCATGCACCGCATCTGAAAAAACCGACAACTGTTCAAGGTAACGCTTTTCATTTTTTATAAATTATAATTTATTACAAGATAAAACAGAATATATATATATATATATATATATATATATATATCCATTTTTATTTTTGCAACAAAGTCGACGCATTAATATTCATGAAAAATTACAATAATAATTTTAACAAACAGTTTTCATTAAGCTGCTAATAATTTTCTTTGTCTTTTCTTTGTTTTCACTCTTTATATATCAGACGGATAGAATTATTGAATAAAATAAACTATAATCTTGTTGGCGACTTATCTATTGTTTGCTGGCATGATGAGTGCTGATGATTTAAACAAAAAAAAAAGGTTTCTAGGAATACTCATAACAAATAACGGCCGTCGAAGACCTAAGTGTACATTGGATAAAAAAAAATCAATAAAGGTGTTTTTCCAATAACATAGAGCAAAAAATAAATAAAAAATACAGAAACTCTAACACAATGTACACCAAGACGAATTTTTTTAGCACCGAAACGAAACTGTGAAGGTATTTTTTTTCTGTTTCCAATCGGTTTTCCTTTATTGAAAAAAAAAATAATAAATTACAATACATACCGTCTATTACAACTTCAGGTTTACGATTGTGTATTGTAGTTGAATTTTATAAATAAACTGTGCCGGGTTAGGTTAGAGTGAATAATAACAATAATAATGTATTATTGTTATCTGATTAAAATTCCTCTTAAGGAACTCTGACTTGTTCTGAGGCTGTCCAAGCAAGAAATCGGATCTATAGGGCTATTTTTTTTTACATAATGTGATATCAGTTTTCAGCAATATTTTATGTACCTATTCCACTCAAAACTGGCCATCAACGCAGTCAAAATTGTCGGTAAAATATTCTAAACTTGAACAGCTAATAAAATATAATATACGTTACCATTATTATAAGAACATACGAAATTTGTGGAAAATTGAAATCTCATTATATAAACAATATGAAAAAATAAAATTCATTTATTAATTATACCCAGTATGTTATGCATCATTATTTCGCGTCCGGCGTACTGTGGAAGTTTAGTTATTTTTCTATAAAAAATACATTTTTTTTTTGTTTCATATTCATACCTAACCTAAATCCATTGTTGCGATTCAGACAGGCGTCTGCCCTGTGTGCATAGTGAGCTCCTCTTATTTACCGTGCTCGAAACAGGGACCGAATTATAGTTTTCCCTCTAGGATATACATATAATATAGAGTTATACATATATTAGAATATACAGACAATAACGTCGAGAATAATATTATATTTACCATGTTCGAGACGGGGCTGTCCGTTTTCATAATGCACACAACCAAATCTCCGTACGTTTCGCATTTCTATGCAAATTCCTTGCCGATTACCTAGCTTCTCACAAAAGCCCCATGGCGGCACCCAGCACCACTACCCTTTTGCAGACAATAGCCGAAATAATTAATAAATTCAATTCAATTTACATATCATACACACCCTTCGCGACGTCTCTCGAATTGCAAACTCGGTCCCAAATCGAGTTAATTAGCAAAATTACACACATATTGTATTGACTACAATGTGAAACTGAGAAGGCATTTGGTTTTTCACTAATGTGTAATATCTTTTTACGTTTACCCTTGAAAATTTGAGTTTTTTGATCAAAACCATCCCAAAAGTTTTTTATAGTTTGGCAGCGAAAGGAAATTCAAAGACCACTAAAGAACTTGTGTAGTATAAACTTTGGTCAGTCCTAAGTTTTTGAGACAACACTTTAACCCAAACTAGGTTTAACCAACCGAAAACATAACCTTCAATGAAGTTCTACTAAGTTTGCGACAGTTCGCTTGTTGTGTGACATATTTTGGTTTTTTTTTTTTTTACTGCAGTGGCCGAAAAAATAAAGAAGTTTTATCATTGTTGTTTGCAAAATTTCAGAAAAACCAAAATTGTATCTAGTTCATTTGTTTATAAGTCCAGTTTAAAAAAAATCTTATCAAATTAGCTAGGTACCATTGTTAGACCAATTTCGGCCACTAAAGCGAATTTTGGGTTTATCTTTAGAAAGACACAGTAATGTTCAAATACAAAATTCGAACTTTTGAGTTCTGTACAAATCATTGTTAGTAAAAATTACATACAATACGCCTTTAACGTGGTGAAAAGTTTGGGATAAATAATTCCATTTGAAAAAAATACGTTTTAATAACTACCGCAAAAAAACTAACAAATAAGATTAATACTTTTTATCACCTTCCGCCCTAGCGAATGACATAAGCTTGTTTTTTGTTTTATAGTAGACAGACAGGGCGGGGGTAAGGTGTGTTTTTTATGACAATAGCACTCTCGGGAAACGAGTTGCCGCACATTATAGCGAGCAATGTTTTATAATTATTACTATGCAAACTAACTGGAAACTCTGACTGTTTCATTAACGCACGCATAAGTATAGACAGTTTTTTGTTGTTGGTGTTAAAAAACCCTAGGGTTTGTGTATGGAACATTATTTAGGCACAGATAATCCTAGATAAGCCAGAACAGTTCCCAAATAAATTCTGAAAAATAACCTAATACCTTCCAAAGTCTATTAGATAGCCTATTCAGATAGGGGCCAACAGGAGCAAGAGTTCTAAAACACCTTTAGTTTTAAGTTCACTGCATATAACAACTCAAATTCTAAGCATCAGCACGATGAACTGTGTGGAACATAACTTTGGACTCGCTTAAAAACTAATAAATATATTACATAGAATTAAACGTTGTTGCATTTAGTGTTCTAACCTTTTGTGTTGTACTCAAATGGCTTGACGGCAATAAATCGATCAACGTCCATATTTTTATTTTTTTTTGTTCTCTTCAAAACGCCGTTTCAATTAATGACAACGGTGTTTTGTTTTTACCGTGTACATTTTTTTCTAATAACGGTCAACTAATTAGTAACACGACAAAAAAGAAACTGGTGGTAAAACATTTTTTAAAAAATTAACGCTCTATTGAATCTCTATTAAATAAAACCAGCGCACGCTCTATTTTTGGGACTTGGGAAAATTCTCCTCTGCTAAGAGGTTCAATGTAGAAATCGAAGAGCTCGTTAAAGAATAAAATCGTGTGTGACAAGCATACATTTGTACACAGTACTTCTTTTTTTTTTTATATGAATAGAGAAGGAAAAAAGTGCACATAAAAGCTCAGCGACAAATTGATACTCATTGTAAAAACCATGTTGGAACCCCTGAAAAGATTCAAAAGTCTTCGGCCATCCAACTAAAAGCCGTTCAAATGATGTACGACGGAAATCCTTTGATTTTTCTCTTTCTTTCTTTCTTTTTTTTTTTGCTGATAAAACATTTTCAACGAAAGACATCGCTAGATCGATAGCAACATGTGTATATGTTATACTTACAATTTTTGTTTTTACACTATTTTGAGAATTCTCTGTTTGTAGCAAGTATTTTCTCTTGCATTAAAATGATATATCTCTTATTCTTGAGGTTTCCAACAAAAAATGTTCAGTACATTAATGTTATCATCAAATGATTGGTGTATAATGTTAGCAGTAGTGAGAACTAAAAATATACTAGTGTTATTTATTTTTAAAAAAATGTTCTATCTCCTAGTATTCGTCAATAAAACATATTATTTGTATTTGTATTTGTGTCTTTGTCGTTGAAAGAAATACTAAAGGCAAACAATGAAAGTCACCCATAAGAACCCATTGCAAGTATACATTTTTTGCCCTGTAAAATTGTATAGAAATCACTTATACTTTTTTGTTTTTCTCCGCTTTATTTACTTTTATTCTTCAGTTTTTCTTTCCACATTTTTATTAAGTACAATGTGTATCGTATAGCCAAGCTATACCGTCTGTTCAATTAATAATTGCTTAAATTGAAATTTATATAAAAATCTCTCAATTTCATGGCTATAAAATTATTTACTATAACGATTTGTGCGCCATTTCAAAACTGTCGGTTATTTATTTAAGTACAGGCTCTAAAAACGGCTGGGCCATTAGCTATGAGTTATTTGTACAATACTTGTTTGTACTACGACTTTGGTATATTATATATAGCTCTAAGGTTAATGTAAATATTTTCAAGGAAAATGTCTTTTGCCTCGATGTACGGCCATCAATTGCTAACGAAAAATAACCGATCCAAGACAATACAAGTAAATTATATTTATTTTCCTAGAAAACCGATTTATATCCCGACCCAAATACCGACTAAAGTGTACGATATTATTTATTGACAAATGTCTCCATTTTTTTTCAATGTCTCAAGTTGAAATATACCTATTTGAATTGGATTTGGCGGCTTAAAGACGCAGAATAAGCTGTTTATCGCAGCACCATGACGGTATAAATCTTCTTGTAAGCATGCCATACCTCATAGTAACCAGTAGGTAATCCCCCTACAAAAAAAAAATCTCACTTATATACATCGTTCAGAACTATAATATTTAACACCGGTTTTTTGATGAAAACGTTGAAGAAAAAAAATACTTGTGTGAAACATTTTTAATTTTTATCAGACAAAAATAAAAGTTTTTTTATTAGTCAAAAACCAGATTTAGGATGGAAGGAGAGGGGTTTCAACTTTTGTAACTTAAAAAACCCTAACCAGATAGTGCACATTAAAAAAATCGAAAAATGTATACAAACTTTAATAATCTCAGGTCAATGTGAGGTACAGGGCGAAGTGTGAAAGCAAATTCGCCATATATACCTTCGGTGTACCTACGGACGGTCAGATGTGTCACCACCGGCATTGCCCTTGTGACTTATTACATTCATTAATTAGTCTCAACACTGTGACGGGAAAAAAAAGTTTTTCCTTTTTGCCAAATCCTTTGCGATAAATCTGCACCTACATGCTGCAGCACCGCGCGCCGTAGATAGAGACGGTACTATTTATTATTATTGCTTGACAAAACTTAGAAGTGTCTACCGACAAGATAAACTTTACAAAAGTCCCGTTCCAAACAAAAAAGAGCAAAATAGTTGACAAGTTATTAATGTGTTGCACTCCGCT